TGTGAAGACTGTCCTTGTATCTGAGGTACGTTTCTTGGTTGAACAGCTTCAGGTAGAAATTCAAAAGGATCTTAAAGTCATGCGCAAGAACCTGCAGACTAGTCAAGATGAACTCAACAAAGAACTTCATCAATGTAAAAAACAAATGGAGGAGCTTAGCACTAACTCTCAAAAATTCCAATCAGACTTTACAAAATAATTTGAAATGGAAAGAGAAGAGATAACTGATCAACCAAAAGAGGTATCCTTATCGACACCCGTTTCCCTTTCCTCACCACCCAGCCCAGAAGTACATGCCACCACATCTTCCACTGCTACGGCAGCAAAAAGTGACCATCTTCGACTAACATTCCCCACATTTGGAAGGCCATCCGATGACGCAGACCCTTTAAGTTATTTAACTCAATGTCAGGACTTTTTGGCATTACACCCCTTGTCGGATGTGGATCTTCTGGCTTCTTTTCGCACAGTCTTACATGGAACTGCACGTGACTGGTGGGAAGTTGCTCGCTCTTCCATTTTCTCCTGGACTGAATTCGAAGCAGCTTTCCTCTCTGCTTTTCTTTCAGAGGACTATGAGGACGAGTTGGCTGAGCGAGTCAGGACTAGGACTCAAGGAGAACGAGAACCTATTAGAGATTTTGTTTTTTCCTACCGAGCATTGTGCAAGAGATGGAAGAGCACATTAACGGAATGCGAAATTCTAAAAATGATTTTTAAAAATATTAAACCTCACCTCGCCAGTCAGCTCCGCAGTCGAGTGTCTACAGTGGAAGAATTGGTGAAGTTAGGTCATCAATTAGAAAAGGACTATGAGCAGCAACTCCGGTATGATGGAGGCATACACCCTAAACAACAGTCTATGGCACCCCGACCTCCTGTTAATCGCTCTATGGACAAGTCTCAAGTTCAGTGCTGGCGGTGTAAAGGACACCATTCCCCAGAGAACTGTCCTTATTTTACATCTCTTTCAAGTCAGCCATCCCATCAGCCTCAACCATCTCACAACAAACGACCTCCCCAAAATCCAAAACAGGGTGGGTTACCCTCCCACAACACTGTCTCAGCCACGACTGCATCACCTATCACCTCCAGTCTGAAAACGAACCAGGTTATTGACAACAAACAGTTCCCAGTACCTCAACAGCTAGTAGTCCCTATCACCATTAGCACCTGGAAAGGTAAAGCTATTGTGGACACTGGAGCTAGCTATACTCTTATACATGAGAGTTTATGGAAGGATCTTACAACCCAAGAGAGTCTCCATCCCTGGACCTTAGGGCCTCTATACCTAGCATACGGCGAGGCTGAAATTCGACTTGGGTGGATAAATGTGCAGATTACCCTGCATAACACGAGTATTTCTATGCGGGCTGTAGTCCTTACCTCCACATCCCTGACCTATGTAGCAGTGTTGGGATTAGATTTAATTTTCCTGAGCGGCCTCCAATTTAATGTCGCAGACAGGAAATACTCCTTCAAATGTGCTCCTGAGGAGGAATACTACTTCCAACTGGGACAAGCAAGTATACCTGCAAGTAGAGTTTCATGCCAATGAAAACCAAAGAAATCTAATAGTTCCCAACAAATTCTTTCTTTACTAAGTTAAGTTTCTCCTCCACAACCTCTACGGGCATCTCGAGATGCAGACCCTACCGCAACAGAGGATCAAGTCTTAATTGACAATGCATTAAAAGAAGCGACTTTACCTCACAATGAAGAAATTCAGCTACGCTACCTCTTGGAGTCCCATCAAACGGTGTGTACTCGCCGACCCGGACGTACGACTGTTCTTCAGCACTGTCTGTACACTCGTCATCCGGTACCCATTAAATAACGGCCCTATCGACTCACGTCTGCAAAGCAAGCCATAGTAAAGGAACAGATTGAAGAAATGTTAAAAGCTGGCATCATAGAACCCTCTTATTCAGCATGGGCATCACCAGTTGTCTTGGTCCCCAAGAAAGACGGAAGTCTCAGGTTCTGTGTTGACTATAGAAAGGTCAATGCCCTCACTGAGAGTGATGCATATCCAATTCCTAACATCACAGAGATCCTGGAGTCGCTTTCTGGTGCAGCCATTTTTTCAACTTTAGACCTTAATAGCGGTTATTGGCAGGTACCCATGGAACCTGAGAGCAAGCCGAAGACTGCCTTCATCACGTCAGGGGGGCTGTATCATTTCAATGTCATGCCTTTTGGTCTGAAAAATGCCCCAGCAACCTTTCAAAGGCTGATGGAGATAGTCCTGAGAGAATTGCTTGGAACCATATGTTTCGTCTATATTGACGATATCATCGTTTACTCACCATCTATGACCCAGCATTTCCTTGACATCCAGAGCATCCTTCAACGGTTGAAAACAGCTGGGTTGACATTAAACCTAAAAAAATGCAAGTTTTGTCTTCAGGAGATCAACTTCCTTGGTCACGTAGTGAACGGACAGGGGATTACCGCTGATCCAAGTAAGGTGGAAGCAATCCGCACTTATCCAGTTCCACATAACCTTAAAGAAGTCCAGTGTTTTCTAGGATTGGCTGGGTGGTACCATCGATTCGTGCCAGACTTCTCCAGGATCGCTGAGCCTTTCAACACCCTAAAAAAGAAAGGACAATCATTTCAGTGGACGTCACAATGCCAACAAGCTTTTGAGTATTTAAAAGCATGCCTTACATCACCACCTATCCTTGGACACCCCAATCTCCAACTACCCTTTACAGTGTACACTGACGCAAGCAATACCGGCTTGGGCGCTGTATTAACTCAGCGGAAAGAACAAGGTGGTGAGGAAGTGATCGCCTATGCCAGTAGGACTCTAAATAAAGCTGAGACAAACTATTCTACCACCGAAAAGGAATGTCTTGCAGTGGTGTGGGCTCTGGACAAATGGCAGCATTACTTAGAACCCCAACTGTTCACAGTAATCACTGACCATTCCTCGTTGCAATGGGTGATGAGTTCCACAAAAACAACCAGTCGATTCATCAGATGGGCTCTTCGAGTACAGGAAAGGGAAGTTGAATGTAGCACCTGATGATCTTTCACGAATGTACTACCTACCTGGATGTAGTGTGTACACCAATCAGAACTTCACTGAATTGTGTGCGAAGTGGAATGTGAAGCACAAATTAACCACTGCTTACCACCCGCAAACGAATATGACAGAAAGAGTCAACCATACTCTGAAGTGTATGATAGCTTCCTTCGTAGAAGATAATCACCAAGGTTGGGACCTCTACCTTCCTGAGTTTCGTTTTGCACTCAATACCGCCGTTCAGGAAACAATTGGAATGTCACCCGCTGAGCTCCATCTGGGCAGGAAACTTCAGAGTCCGTTGGACAAATTGTTACATGGACACGACCTTTCACCCTCTGGTCTTTCGTATGAGGTTGTTCATCAGTTGTCTCGGCTACAGAGAAAGGCCAAGGAAAACTGCAAAAGAGCTCAAACAAGACAACTGAGAAGTTATAACAAAAACAGAAGGGATGTCTCCTTCCAGGAGAAAGATCGCATATGGGTTAGAAACTTCCCGCAATCCAGTTCACAACGCCATTTTAGTGCTAAGCTGGCACCAAAATGGAAGGGACCATATCACATAATTCAACAGTTGGGGCCTCTCAACTATCAAGTTGCGCTGAAAACCACAGGAGAAGACGTGCGCACGGTGCATGTATGCAATATGAAACCTTGTTTTCCTACTGCAAGAGAAATGGAGGATCGTACTCAGGAGAAACTCCGGGAAATTTTCCATGAGACCTCGGACGAGGACAAAGATTTCCTTTGATTTTAGCGTGTTTTCTCTCTTAACAACTATGCGTTGTCTTCTCAAGGAGGGGAGAGAGTGGCAGAATGGAAAACTCCGTATGCCACTTGTTTACGTTCACTTTCATTTCACAACTCAATGACGTAAAGGGAGGCGTGAATATCAATTAATGGGAAAAGCAAATATAAGGGCGAGGCTCACACACCTGGGGGGGAGAGACATCACAAGTGAACACAGTTCTCTTGAGAGTTGGGGGAGAGAAGTTGAGGTGGAGTTACCGTGTGGAGTGTGGCTCGTGTTCCTGTCGGCCTGACGCTTCCAGACTTGCTGTGTTTACATTGAGTTCGCGAACGGGCGCAAAGTACCTTCACGCATGAGCTTCATTCAGCCATCCAAACAGGAAAGCCGGTCATAAAAGGATCATCGTTGAGTCCACTGCGGTCCCTAGACACTCTTCATAAACCTTGTGATTTGCTACACTTGGGTCAGTGACGCAAAAAGCCATTCTCTCAAACAAACAATCTAGCACACGTGCACTCAGTCCCACACGCACGTACACATGCACGTGCTATTCATACATGCACTACCAATGCGATTTAATTTAGTTTTTCTAGTTTATCGAGCCTGATTATATATTGTTTTGTTGATTTGTTTATTCCCCTTACTCCTACAAACTACTTATTCATTGTGTTTTTCTTACATGGACAAATGGGGATTTAAAATGGACATGTGAATCTACTGTTGAAAGCCCTGTTACAATGAACTGTGACGTATCTGCACATATCTGACGTATCTTATGGGTTAAAAGAATATATACCAAGAACAAAGAGAAAATTAGTAGTGGAGTCTGAAATTGTTCTATGATTATTAATTTTTTTTATCTGATCATTTGTAACATTTTTTCTTTGTTTTATTTGATTGTGGCTATGTTTTTTTTATTGTTTGGTGTAAAGACTCTGTGAAAATTGAGGCTGTTGAATGTAACAGGTGGTTATTTTAAGCTATCCTGGGTGTTTTTTTTTTTTTGGCAGGCTTATACCTGTCTGGCGCCCGAAAAAGTTTAATTAAAAAACAATTGATCGAAATATTCACTGTAAATTGTTTTCTGGGGGCCCATCACCGTTACAACGGGTCACGACGAGGCGTTCCCCATAGCGACCCCTAGAGGACGCAGTGTCTCGTTCCCTACTCAGGGAACCATGGTTACATACGTAACCTGAGACGTTTTTCTCTAAGGTGGCTTCATGTTCAAACAATGGAAGAAAAAGTACCTGGTGTTGACGGTGGAAGGGAATCTGATGGTGTGCCGAGATGCAGACTCACCACCGGATCAGGTGGTGGCGCTGCAGAGTAACTGTGAGTCCATAGTGGAGGGTAAAGAAATCTTGGATTTGCCCCGTTTGCCCTCTGGAGGCCGCAGAGACAGCTGCTTTGCCCTTATCCTGCCCCAGGACAAGTTCCTCCTTCTGCTCTCAGATAGTCCAGACGAGTGCACGTGAGTTCATGTCAAACTCAATCATGCACTTTAGCTTCTTGAATGATTATCCTTCGTGGGCAAAACATGCACTTTACCTTTTCCAACAGGTGGATGTTAATTTCATTTTATGTTAAGAGAAATTTCAGCAAATGTTAGTGAATGTGATATTAAAGTTTTTGTCTCCAACAGTCAATGGCTGAAGTTACTCAGGAAGGTGAAAGAGGTGAGTTTCTACATTGCATTACCACCAAATATACAGAAAGTCTTATAAACCTGGAAATAAACAGAAATTTAACCATTTACTCAGATTTTTATGCTAAAAAATAAAAATAAGATAAATAATGCACATAGAAGCATTTTCATCTGTAGTCTTATTATTTTGGACCCACTTATGCAATATAAATTAATACTTTAATTCAGCAAGAACACATTAAAATATTGGGCAGCACAACTGTTTGCATCTTTGATAATAATCAGAAATGTTTCTTGAGCAGCAAATCAGCATATTAGAATGAGGATCATCTGACACTGAAGACTGGAGTAATGATGCTGAAAAATGTTACAATACTATACAATCAATTCTACAATTAATAATTTAAAAATATTTTACAATATATTCACATGGGTTGTTGTGTCCTGATAACACTTGTGTGACTTTTTTAGAAGGTTTATGTTATGTTTAGTATTTCATTTCTGGTAATTTTTGTCACAGATTTGAAACAGACATTTGGTTAGACTTTACATGATCATTCAAGTCAATTTAATTATTATTATTATTATTATTATTATTATTATTATTATTATTATTATTATTATTATTATTATTATTATTATTATTATTATTATTATTATTATTATTATTATTATTATTATTATTATTATTATTATTATTATTATTATTATTATTATTATTATTATTATTATTATTATTATTATTATTATTATTATTATTATTATTGCTGTTGATTCTTGGCTCTGAGAAATTTGCACTCTTGGTTAATTAAGTATAGCTTTTTACAGGGAAAACAACACTGTATGCACTCCCCATGAATGCAGTTCAAATGGCTTTTATATGGGGCCAAACAACAGGATTATTTTCAATTAATGTTATGTAATATGTCATGTGGCAGTGCCTTTGCCAGATCCTATATCAATGATAAGTGTTGTAATCTTTCATGAGGGGCAAACCAAACACTTTTCCCTCTTTAATCTTTGGAATAGGAAGCCATGAGCACTCTGTGTTGAGTATGTTTGCACGTTTCAATGGCGTCCTCTTTTTGCTCAGGGTGTGACTTCACCACTCGCCCTAAAGAGACAGCAGAGCATCACACCCTGCATCACGGACAGAGAGCCGCTTCCAGATGTCTCCAGTGACAAAGACCCCTCGTCCCCGCACCTCAGCGACAAGGGCCTGAGCACTCCGCTGGTCCGCTCCAGAGAAAACTCCTTCAGACACAGAGGTGGGCTCAGGCTTGTTAACCGCTTCGGTCATATTCTCATGGTGCTTTGGTAATACCTTTCACACAAATGTTCCCTCTGGAGCAGCGCTGTTCAATCAGAAGAACTAGCTGTTAACATTCCTATTCATGTCAATGTCATTAGACCAAAAAATAACCTTAGAAACTGTTTGGTCAACAACAAGAACAACAACAACAACAACAACAACAACAATAATAATAATAATAATAAAGTTATAATAATTATAATTAAAAGTTATAATAAGTCAATGTGTTATATCACTTAAGGCCTCTAGTGGTCAGCATCTGCAGTAGTTAGTTATGAAGCCACATCTTGATTATAATGGTATTTATCGAAGTATCACTGTCCATGTTCAAATAATCACTATCCATGTGTTTTTTTTTATTTATTTTTTTTATAAGAGCTCATAAATACTTCTTAAATGTTGATAATTAAAGGACAACAATCTCCTGTAATGTCAGTCATTCCATGTTAAGCCTCTCTCTCTCGCTCTCTCGCTCTCTCTCTCTCTCTCTCTGTCTCTCTCTCTCTGCTATAATCTGTTTAAGCATGTTTTTCTGCTTATTCTTTCTACTATGTGCAGTATTTAGGTCTCTCTTAAAATGGCGATTGCCGAAAGACTACAAATGAGTCACAGCAAAGCTTAATATTTCATTTAAAATGTGTGTGTATGTATGTGTATGTATGTGTATATATATATATATATATATATATATATAGCTGTTCATGTTAAATATGTAACGGTGAATGCAGAAATTAACATTAACAAATTAACCAAATTTTAAAAAGTACTGTACATCTGAACTATTGCATTTAAATAAATAAATGTAAAGTGTTTCTATTTTCCAGTAAACAGTTCAAAGGTGCAATACTGTGTGCTTTATGTTATTCACAATGATGATGTTATCAGCCACATCACCAAAATAGCTAACTATTAATTATGAACAATTTATTATATGTAAAAGCAATTTATAAAGATGTTTATTACAAAATAAACTATACGAAATAAAATAACACAAATAAATAAGTTGTTTATGAGTGTAGGGAAACTCAGTTAGGTCACTGCAGTGCAATAAGTGATCAAGAGCTCTGTTGCTGCAATTTTTCTCTCCATGGTAACAATGCACTATAATGCACAATAAGCTGGTTTGTCAACTGCCAATAAACAACACAAGATGATAGACCTATAGAAAAAAATATTTGAATCTTTTTCTTTTCTCTTTCCAACAAAAAAAACGAGAACGTTCTCTTAAAGAGACAGTGGCAAGGAAATGAACACAAAGAGTATGTTGCCATATGGTTACACCATGCGGTAGAGGGTTAAACATATAGATTGAAGGTTAAATATTTAACTGAATGAAACATACAGAATGTACTGCATGTTAGCTTTGCTTATTGTGCCCAAGAGCATTATCTCTTGAAGTTCAAACATAATGCTAATTAAAACTATGCTTCTGTTGCTGTCAGCATACAGCCAATTGTGCTCATGGACCTTTCACGAGCCTGTCTCTCCCACTTCCCTTCCTGTCAGCTAAAGGCAAAAAGCACCAAAAAAAAAAAAAAAAAAAAAAAAAAAAGCTATGCTCCTAAGTTGTTTGAACTAATGTTTTGGGAAACACTAAATATGTAACTATGGAACTTCTGACCCTAGTTGTCTAACGATGCTTTTTAGGAAATGCACCCTGATTGCTGAATCTGACTTTAAGATTATGGGTAGTTTTTCCGTTCCTACTCTCTGTTCCTTACTGAAAGGTTTATTTTGAATCCTCTTAGGTAACACTGTACGTGTCAGACTCTGTTCCTTGTTTTGTGTGTGTTTTGCTCCCCATGTGCCTTCCTTGCCCTTATTTGGTCCTTCCTGTTCCTGTCCCCATTTAGTTCTATTAGTTCCAGGCGTTCCTTGTTATTAGTTATCCTCCTCACCTGTCTGCACCTTGTTATCTGCCCTATTTGAGTTGTAACCCGTGCGGTTCTCCCTCCCATTCGCTACGTGTGTTTTCCTTGTTCCCTGGATGTTATTAAAATCTATATGTTTGAATTCCACTCCTCGTCTCCTCGCTCCTTCGTCTCCGTGCTCCTCGCAGTAGCGAACCGTGACAGTACGTACATGCTGGCTACAATTACCTGTCAATTTGTATTTTAAAACATCTGTCATTTAGTCAGTCAAATACACTCATGCAGTTCAGCTCTTGCTATAACATGCTGTTCGTTTCGGTTGGTTGTAAAACATGTTAGTGTTTAAATCGTGTCTTTTTGCCAATAGGAGTTTTAGATATCATAATAACATCGTCTGAGCTTGGTCACTTTGTTTTGTTTGAATTTGAGTAGGAGAAAGGTGGCAGCTTAACTGTGTCAGGAACAGTGTTGTCAATAACAGTAATAAAGTGGGCTCAAGTGCCGCCACTGCTCTCTAATCTATGTAAACATTGACTCAAACATAGCACATAATGAACAGCCTCAGTGTTTGAGTCTACAAGGTCAGCATGTTTATGATGTTCACTTATCTACAACTGTTTCTGTTGTGAACTTTAGGCAGCATAAACCAGCGGCCTCCCCGCAGCCCCACCGCGGCTGTGCCCCTTCGCTCTGCAGACTGTCTGCGGCACGGAAACAGCAGCGATGCCCGGGCCGTGAGAGCGGTCTGTCTGCTGATGGGTGGAGCAGCCGCATCCTCGGCACTGGGATACCTCAACTCCTGTCCATCCGCCTCCTCCAACATGGCCGTCCACGCTCCTGAAGTGACCCACTCCACAGCGTTATCGGAGATGGGGGGAGGCAGCTCTTACCATGCCTGCAGCCAAGCCATAGAGTCACCACATTTGAATAGCTTCGACTTTGAGGGAGATTCAGATTTTGATGCTTTTGACTGTGGAGGGTTTGCTTTTTAATGGAATATGTTTACCTTATTCGCAGGGTTCCCACAGTCGTGGAAGTGTTAGGGAATTTGACAATTGTTATTTTCAGGTCCAAGAAAGGCATGGGAATGAATAAACTCTTTAAAAAGTCATGCAAATTCCTGTAGTGGATATGTCTACAGCAGTGGTTCTCAAACCTGTCCTGGAGTAGCCCCAGCCCTGCACATTTTGTATGTCTACCTCATCTATCACACCTGATTCAACTCTTCAGCTCATTAGTGGATTAGTGGAAGTGGGTGTGTCAGATATAGGGAGACATGCAAAATGTGCAGTGCTGGGGTACTTCATGGAGAGGTTTGAGAACCACTGGTCTACAGGGTTGTTGTTTTTTCTTTTTCTTTTCAAGCATAGTAGTTAAAAGCAACTGGAAAAAAGTCATACGCATTCATTGTCCAAATGATTTTGGATGCTGCATACACAGTTGTTTGTTAATCTCTTTTCAGCAGAAGACAAAAAAATTTGAATTAGAACATGTGAAGATGCAAATGATTATATTGGAAAATTAAGCCTATTTTTACGACCATTATAATTTCATGCATTGTGATTTTATGTTCATGAGAATTTATCACATCCCCCTTTATACAAAATACTATTTCTAATATTTTTCTTTTAATACTTGCATGAAATATGACCCAGAAATCTCCTAGACAGGTTTTGTGAGAGTCATCCACCTGTGCCCCTTTTAACTTGTATGTTGTGGCTATTGTGTGTTTCAAATATAATACACATTATGTTCCAATAATAATGTTGCTTTATAACTTTATTATAATAATGTATCTTAGAACTCTTAACCCCTTTTTTATTTCTTATTTATCTAATTCAAATGAAAGGGTTCAAATGTTTTATTATGTATATGTCAGACATTTGTGGATACAGTGATGTAGTTTATTTTGAAGGCAAAAAATAGTCATTATCACTGTAGTACTTTAAAAGGATTTTATTGTGACAAGACTCATTTACTTTTACAAGGTTTTTAAAAACTTGTCATGTGCCCTTTTCTGTGATTTCTGGCCACTTTGCATAATTCTTGTTCTTAACAAAATAGATCTACAGAATTATTATATTCATTTTTTCCTCATCTTTTTGCTCACATAGTTTCTCTTGGATGGTGAGTTTGTGTAAGTGAGATCATAGGTGAGTGTTTATTAAACATTTATAATGTCGTGTCATAGTGAGTGTGAGTCAATTCATCTGTCATTCTGCTGAGTCAGAAGGATCATGTTTACACTGCAGTACATGACTAAGCCAAAAGTTAAGCAGAGGGTGATAAAGCAGATTTACTGGAGACAACATTTAAAAGCATACTGGGGGACAAATGCACATATCTTTCTTTCATATCATTTCATGTCATACAGATCTCTGTATTACCTATGTGATGATATAAAGAAGAGAAGGAAGCCATGAAACACCATGCTCCTGATCTGGTGTGTTTGAAGTTGGAAAACATGTTGTTTGAAGGTCCATTCACACCAAGGACATATGAATTGATCGATCTAACTTTAAGAAAAGAGTGAAGTCCACACTACAACTATAACGATAATGCAACAGAGGAACGGTATCGTTGGAATCACTTTCACTGACACTGACAGCCAATCAGACTCCACCAGGTATTAAAGAGCTTCAGAATGTTATTTTGCTTTAGCGTGAATGCTAATATAGTTATCTTTATCTTTATATTTCACACCATTCTTTACTACAATACGTCATCATTGCATAATGTTTTATAATGTACTACAATACTGAGCTGCAGATATCGGCCACTATTTGCAATTAGTATGAATTGCAGAAAATACTGCTATTTTAACATAGTGTAAATAGAATCCATTGCAATTTGCACTTAGTGTAAATGGCAACCATTGCTAAGTAAATACTGCTATTTTCCCTTAATATAAATAGCATCTAATTGCTATTTACACTTAGTGTAAATAGACGCTGCCTATATTTGAATAAACATTGTGAATAGTGTCATGATTATAATGTACTTTTTAATTGCTTATATAGTTTCCTAAAAACTGTCCCTGCATCCTAATTTCTGTACTACCCATCCTAAATAGTATGTGAGATTAGAATATGTGTGTCCCAAAGCATAATATGTTGAAAAGAGTATGCCAAAAGTTCCCGGATGGTCTACTATTTCAGGTAGATTTTTGAAGTGTGGATCCGTGCACACTCTAATGGCTAATATTGCCCACAATCCATTGCGCTTTGGCGAAGGATTCAGTTCAGAACTACAAACATGAATAAAAAGCATTAAAAAAACTACAAACATGGTGGATGTGTGTAACTGACGGTACTTAGAGAGGTTTAGATAAAGGGTTTTGAGTTACTAATAATCAACATTTAGCCTGGTCAAAATGTTTATTGTATGTTATCTGTGTTATATTTCATCTGCAAGAACAGTGTGAGCTTTGATTATCATCCGTTTGGCTATTAACTTTTAAATGCATCATTATGCAAAATAATATGAGCAGATTTCTCCGCATAAAGACCCATGGCTGGCAGACCAACATGCTACTACTTTTCTCTCCGATACAGTAGGAAGTTAAATGAAATGAAATGTGTAGGATGTTAATTGTGACAAGATGATTGAGAGGCCAGTTTACAGTGACAGGGAGCATGTAACTGTGCAAGAGAGCGGTCCGTTATAGACACAATTGTATGATGTGATAGTATGTCCCACAGCTTGCCTACTCTTCTACTAAACTCTCAAAAGTGTGTACTTTTTCTTCACCAAAACAGAACATACTTTAAGGCTGTAGTATAAGTAGGCACATTGGGACACAGCATCCCTGCTAAAAAAAAAAGAAAGAAACCATCACAGAATTTGTAATGGTTTTACTGGTTATAATGGGACTTGTACTGGTTTTAATGGAAACTGTAATGGAGCCTATTATTCTCTACTGGTAATTGGTCACCTTCTATTATTGGCTTGTTAAAATCACTAAATCCTAATGGAATATGTCCCAAAACACTACAGGAAACCATTTTTAATGTAAAGTTGATGGTTTGTAATGTTTGTAATGGTATTTGTAGTGGAAACCATTAGAATTTCTGTGATGGTTTCTACTGTTTTTTTTTTTTTTCAGCAGGGATGTCACTATGTCCGAAATCACACTCTGTCTGAGTATATACTACTGAGCAGATGCTACTAAGATCATAAACTAAAAAAAAGGTATGTTTAATTTACATGACTTAAGAATGAACATCAGTTCCATGTCAATAAATTCAGTAAAACAAACATAATTTCTTCATGTAACTTCAACATCATAAAATGCAGCTATTTGTGATTTTATATTGTTCCCTGACAGGAATTAATTCAATTTTCTATATATATATTTTTATTTTTTTCACATCACTGAATCATAAAATAGTACTAGCTATCTAAACTGTTAGTGACCAATAGCACGTATTAGCATGCTAAATGCTAAGTGTGCTCATCAAGTAAAGCATGCAGACTTATATGGCTGCGTCCGAAACCACCTACTTCTCTACTATATAGTAGGTGAAAAGCAGTAGGCGAGCGAATAAGTATGTCCGAATCCTTAGTATTCATAAAAGAGTAGTCGAGAAGTTCCCGGATGTCCTACTGCTTCTGCCCAGCTTCTTGAGTGCTCGTCGATGGATACTTTTCTCTCCCAGGAGGCCACGCGAGAGGATACATCATAAAGAAGAAGAGGATGCGCCATAATCGAACATGGCGGAAAATTTGGATGAGGGTGTTTACAAATGTACGTATTACAAACCAAAAACACGGTTCCTTATTTTAAATTCGCATTTGTTGAACTACTTTAGAGCAAATTGTTGAAAGTGTAAAGATGCTAAATGGTATAGTATAGTTGTGATGTTGCTTTAAAAAAACGTGTTATTATGTATAGCTAACAGGGGGGCTCCAAAGTAGATTTACATACATTTTAAACCATATACATCTTAAATACGATTACTAAATGTCTATTTAATATCTGGTAGGAAAATCTTCGATATGAATTTCATACAAGTATGTCTAATAGGTGCTAGATATGAAGTAGACATCTGAGTGATGTATATGTGTGTTATTGTGTAGTACAATTCGCTGTTGTCAGCACTGTTTGTAATAGATGAATGTAAGTAATGTAAATAAATTTCCATAAAGTAACTAAATATAAGTAATCTATTTTATTTGTCCATTAGTACTGCAGACATCTGAGTGATGTATATGTGTGTTATTGTGTTATTGTTTGCAATAGATGAATGTCAGTAATGTAAATACATTTCCATAAAGTAACTAAATATAAGTAATCTATTTTATTTGTCCATTAGTACTGTTGAAAAATTGAGGAACATTTGTGTTGGATAAAAAGCTACTTAACACATCATCAACTACCTCAGAATGTAAATGTAGTTTTGAGCACACAAATCTCAGAGGTAACTTGACTCTTGTCTGGATGTTACAGGGACAGATGAGCACACACGTCTGCTTATCCGGTGGAGAGCGGCTAATGAAGCCCTCTTCACCAGAAAGCGGAATGCTGCCATCAAAGGCTTTGAGTGAGTATACTACAGAAATGAATAAAACATCTTTTAAATCTTAAGTTGAGGTTTATTTTAATTATTGTAATTTCAAACAAAGTTATCACAGCACTTTTCTGATTCTTGATTCCTGTGCATTTGCTGCAGTTCTTTTGTGGTGGAGCAGGACCTGCAAGGAAAGGTGATGGTGGCATTTGTGAAAAAAAAGGGAAAACCTGAAACAAAAATATAAATAAGATCATTCTGTTACTTCTAATACAGAAATCAAAGGACATTGTGCTGTTAAAATGATCTGAAATGTTTCTGCAGACTGGTGTGAGCAGTGAGGATGGAGAAGTCCACAGCAGCATCCTGGAAATGGTCCAGTGCCATGGATGAGACGCTCCATCTCTCCACCTCTTACTGTCTCATCTGGACCGGATGTTGCTGTGGTCTCTTCATCCTCAGTGACCCCAGAGAGAGCGAGAGTATCTAGAGAAAAAACAAGACACTGAGGATGTGAGTTTGGTCAAGTTTGTCCTGCTGGCTTGTTCATACAACATCAGTCAATGAAACCTGAGTTTCAGAAGCTTTAAAAGCATCATCAAATAAAGTCATGAAGCTTCTGAAAGTCAGTCACAGTTCTCTTATTACAGGGACCCCAATCCCCCAGCAGCCACCTGGAGT